TGTACTCCCACAGGCGTCACGCCACAGGTAGGCCCAAAGGTCCCGTAGAGCCCATCCGGAGCGCATCAACTTGATGATGTCAACGCAAGCGCGGCGCACCACTTGCGAAGCCGACGGGTCCAAGCAAGGGGTTTGTCCGCAAATGGTGCACTGCAGTGGTTGGCAGTCCACTACACACAATACCCGTATCGGCGTCGCCCCCCCCCCACGGCAACGCGAAGTCCATTCCACTTCGGGCGTGGGACCCTGGAATGTTGTAACGAGTGTGTCCACGAAGCTTTCGGCGTTTATCGGCGGGTGCCACCGCAGCGTCCACGCACGGCATGCACGGCAGGAGCGGCAACTGCCAGCGGGGGAAGACTTGGTTGGCGAAGGACTCGAAGTTCGCCACCCATTCCCGCACATTGCCGAACTAGTCGTGGAATGTCCTCCAGTGCGCACCTTAAACCATCACCACGACATCTACCATTCGGCTTCGTGTCCGCGGGCCGAGTGCATAAGACCCAAATCTCGTCGGGATCGCCACGGGACCTGCTGCGCACCTGCCAACCATGCCCGATTTCTGTAACGATGCGATGATCTAGCATGAGTCTGCCCTGCTGGGTAAGATTGGTACTCCTCCTTCAAAGCTTGCCGGAATACCACATGGAGGATCCGATGATGAAGTAGACGGCACTTGAAGCGGCCAGCCCAAGACTCCATTATCCTCGCCATGCGTTGGTAATCCATGCAGCCCTCGTTTCCCCTCCTGCGAAGGCGTGGTGCCAAGCGTAAGAATTAGTACTCCCAGCATCACCACCACCTCCACCAAAACCACAATCACCACCACCCCTACCATGATCATCCTCCTCATCCTCGTCACCCACGTCATGATCAGCATGACTAGCATGATCAACACGATCATCATCATCATCATCATCATCATCATCATCATCATCATCATCATCATCAGCAGTAGCATCAGCATCATCATCATCAGTATCAGCATCGTGGTCATCTACAGAATTATCATTAGTAGCATCATCGTCATCATCATCATCAGCATCATCATCACAATCATCATCATCATCATCATCATCATCATCATCATCATCATCATCATCATCATCATCATCATCATCATCATCATCATCATCATCGCCATCATCACCATCATCGTCATCCTCATCACCATCACCATCACCACCACCACCACCACCATCGACATCATCATCATCATCATCATCATCATCATCATCATCATCAGCATCATCATCATCGAAAAAATCATCATCGTAATCGTCATCTTCAACATACCAGCGTCATCATCAGCATCGCAATCATCATCTTCTTCATCCTCATCAGCACCAGCATCAGCATCATCACCATGGGCATCATCATCAGCAGCAGCATCGTCATCGTCAGCATCATCATCTTCATCATTATCACTATTATCAGCATCATCATCATCACCACCATCCTCTTCTTCATCATCAGCGTCAGCATCACCAGCATCATCGGCATTACCATCACCAACTCCAAAACCACAATCAACACAATCATCATCATAACCCTCATCAGCATCATCACCATCCTCTGCATCATCATCATCATCATCATCATCATCATCAGACTCATCGTCATCATCATCATGATCATCAGCACCATTATCATCATCATCGTCGGAATCGTCATCATAATCAACAAAATCAGCGTCAGCATCATCATCATCATCATCATCATCATCATCATCAGCAACATCGGCATCAACACCATCATCATCAGCAGCATCATCTCCATTATTCTCAGCATCATCAGCAGCCGCATCATCAACAGCATCTTCAGCAGCATAATCATCAGCATCATGATCATCAGCAGCAGCATCGGCAGCATCATCATCATCATCATCATCATCATCATCATCATCATCATAAGCAGCATCATCATTATAATCAGCATCAGCAGCAGCATCAGCATCATCATCAACAGCATTAACATCATCACATATCATCATCGCCATCAGAATCAGAATCGTCGTCATTATCACTATTATTAGCAGCATCGCATTCGAATTCGTCAGCACACCACCATCAGCGTCACCACCATCAGCAGCATCATCAGCATCATCATCAGCATGAGCATCATCGTCATCGTTCTCATCATCATCGTCATCGTCATCATCAGCAGCATCAAGATCATCAGCATCATCAGCATCATCAGCATCATGATCGGCATAAGCATCATCATCGTCATCATCAGCAACATCATCATCAGAAGCATCATCATCACCCGCAGCAGCAACACCAGCATAATCATAAGCAGAAGCATGATCATTATCAGCATCATCACCATAATCAGCATGATCTTCATTATCATCATCATCATCATCACCATCATCATCAGCATCATCATTATCAGCATCGTCATCATCGACGTCATCAGCCGCAGCTGCATCATTATCATCACCATGATCGGCAGCATCGTAAACACCATCATCAACATCATCATCACGATCATCATC